GGATATATCGTATCGTGACCCCTCTGTCATGATATGTATCGTATCGCCAAATTCTTGCCAATACACAGCCCTACTAACCACCACAGCTAACCTTTCATTTGTTCCATTTGTTTCAATAAAACTATAAGTTTGTGTTTGTGAAAAACACAAAACATTCAATGCTCGGTTGTAAGACATTTTATACGCGTGTCCCGAAAACAAGAGAACACAATTATGCATGAGTACACTTGTTGCACTCTGACCTGGTTGATGCGTAGTAAGGCACCTCTGCTGGGAAAGATTGCAGAATTTCTTGAATCGATTGACATAGTGTGCTGCAAACAAAACAAACAGGGATTGTTTTGAACCAACGTGAAGCTTACAATTCTCCATATCAATGGTAAATGTGGTACAAAAAAACCCTATGATTTTATAGCAGAAAGACCCTTCATGTCATACTGAAAGTGCAGACTTGAGGGAGTGTCCACTCTCCTCTCGCACAGCAAAGGAAGCACTGCGTGCCAGGCAGCCCAGCTCCCTCCATACTCCCTCCCACTTCAATGTGTGGTTGGTCATACCAAGAGGAAACTGCAGAAAACACAGAAATGTGTCAGAGAACTAGAATACTGAGATTCAGGATATTTGGAAGTGCCACACAAGCACAGCCTCTTACATTTAGCTCAGCAGACACGCCTCTGTCTGTCTCCTTCAAGGAGCTCCAAGGAAACTGCCCGGTTACTTTATACATGTTGAGGGTGAGGCTGAAAACAAGGGCATTTCAATTAAGAAAGATGCAGTTTTAAAAATCTAACATTGACACAGTTCAGTTACTTTTTTTCCAGTTTTATACTCAGCTCAAAATCAGGGCCTTAAAATCTGAATGAAAACTTTAAATACAGTTCACAAGTTTGGATTTTAATAATTGGGATTCGGTGGCAGGATTGAGTAATTGGTATCTGAGGCTCCTTTCACAATGAATGATGACCCTGATGTGTTCTTCTACCCCACCTGTTAGAATGTGATGTTACATGTCAAATATAGTTGGACTGGAGCAAATTTGGAAAACCTATTTCAGACAGAAGGCAATCACGACTCTGCTACACTTGTAGAAATAACAAAATAATTTTTTCCTGATTTTCGGTGTCCCAGCGACTCTCTCCTGCATCCTCAGCACACTATAATCATCATCAGAATATTCCCATGACAGTACTATCATATATACCTACAATGGCACCAAAGCCTGAGGTCAGCAGTGCACCATCCCCACCATAAACTGTGTTAGTGTTGAACTGTTTTACCCCCTTGAGAAGTTGTATGGTGGACCAGAATCACCTCGAAGCCATACAGAAGCCGTTCTCCATGGCCTCTCCAAACTCCTCCCACACCCGGGTTTTTGCCTCAGTGACCACCCGAGACCGCTTAGACTGCCGGTACCCATCAGCTTCTTCCAAAGTCCCACAGGCCAAAAAGACTCGATAGGACTCCTCCTTCACCCTGAACACATCCCTCACCACCGGTGTCCACCAGTGGGTTTGAGGGCTGAAGCCATGACAGGCACCAACAATGGGGCCACCTCAACCATGGAGGCATGGACAATGGCTCACTTGGACTCAATGTCCCCCATCTCCCCCAGAATGTGTTCAAAGCTCTCCCGGAGGAGGGAGTAAAAGCTCAGTCTGACGCAGACCCTGACAGATGTTCCCAGCAGTTCCCAGGAGTCTCATGATGTTGTGGGTCGGTGGTCAGAATGCTTCGAAGACCTCAATCCCACCAGCACATCTTCCAATGAGAAAGCAGAGCCTGAGGACCCTGGGTCGGGCTCTCCAATCTCTGGTGCCAAGGTCAATGAGGTGGATGAGATTTGTCTGAAGTTCCTTAAGTCTCTGGATGTTGCAGGGTTGCATTGGTTGATGCTACTCTGCAATTTTGTGTGGACATCGGGGGCAGTTCCCCTGGAATGGCAGATCGGGGTGGTGGTCCCCCTATTTAAAAAGGAGGTCCGCAGAGTGTGCTCCAACTACAGGAGGATGACACATCTGATCCTCCCTGGTAAGGTCTATTCAGTGGTCATAGAGAGAAGGGTCCTCTGGGTAGTCAAATCTCAGATTCGGAAGAGCAGTGTGGTTTTCGTTCTGGTCTATGTGTACCGGACCAGCTCTACACCCTCAGCAGGGTCCTGGAGGGTGCATGGGAGTCCTGTGGGGGGTACTCCGGGAGTATGGGATACCAGACCCATTGATACGGGCTGTTAGGTCCCTGTACAACCGGTGTCAGAGCTTGGTCTGCATTGCCGGCAGTAAGTCAGGCTCATTTCCAGTGAGAGTTGGACTCTCTTGATGACAAGGTTGCCCTTTGTCACCATTTCTGTTCACAACTTTTATGGACAGAATTACTAGGTGCAGCCATGGTATTGAGGGGATCCGTTTTGGTGGCCTTAGGATTGCATCTCTGCTTTTTGCAGATGATGTGATCCTATTGGCTTCATCGGATCGTGATCTCCAGTTTTTGCTAGAGCACTTTGCAGCAGAGTTTGAAGAGGCCAGGATGAGGATCAGTCCTTCCAAATCCGAGACCATGGTCTTGAGCCAGAGGAAGAGATCCTCTCAGGGCCTTGTTCACAAATGAGGGAAGAATGGAGTGGGTGATCAGTGAAGCGAGAGCTATGCCAAAAGGCGATACTTTCTGAGAAGCTTATAAAGCTTAGAAGAGGCACTAGACCTTTTAACATCTTCACAAAACTTTGACCAAGAAAGTCTCTTACACTACCTTAAAACACTTTTACAGTGACTGTGCGTACTGATCTAACCTGGCTTAGCTTGTTTGGGATCTGTATCTTTGCCATTTACAGTACCTCTTACTGCCTTGTGGAGACCAGATAACTGTGGGGACCACCAGGCCGGTTGCTTTTATAGACTTATAGGCAGTTTGCTGGAGATAGGCACCAGCAGTATGGATGGATTTTACGATGGTGGTTTTTAGGCATGCTCAAAACCTTCCATGACCTAACATGATCTTTCACAAATAAGAAGGAACCCAATGCTTTTGAAATACACACCTAAAGAACTTGCCAACACAATTTAAAGACCATCCATATTCTGGTTGATTGTTTTTCATGTTGCACAGGGGTGGTCATCATTCATTATTAAGGAGCCTTACCTGAAGGTAGGGAAGATCCTTACTGTTCAAAACCTTCCAGCAGAATCTGACGTTAAACATAAGAACAATGTCTTTCTTTTTATTTTTTTAATAATTGCCATCATTGTGGGGTATTTTTTTAGGCAGTTGCATTAAAGTGGTCTTTGGATATTGGTAGGTCTAAAGCTGGTTTATGCAAAAAATTAAATGACCGGCCTTAGGCTTCTTATAGGAGTGTTGAATTTCATAGAGAAACATTTAGTTGCCCTTGATTGTGTCCTTAATTTAAGGTCACATTAAAACACTAAAAAACAAAAGATAGTGGTAGCAGAAGAAATTAAGGTTCACTGTTGATCACTTTTCTATGAAAAGTCTTGTTAAATAACAGGAGACTTACAACTCAATATAAGGACCTATGCAGCAGGGTCTGTGTCTGTAGAACAAGGAGTGATGCTTTACGAAGGACTGACCTTCACAGTTTAATTGGGGAGCAGTTTAATTGACATGCAAGTGTGAGATCTGCATTGTGGACATACTTGCGTTCAAAGAATCCAGGTTGTGGTTTGAAGAATGACAGACCGTAGGCTGTCTCCTTTGTCCCATAGGAGAACTGAAAGGTGAGCTTCTCAGCTCGGCCAAACGCATTGGGAAGCTTCAAACCCAGGACCTAGAAGACATAAATTAGATGATTTCACACACAGCTTCATTTTGGTCATTGCACAGGAGGGTTTCCAGATATACTTAACAGAACGTTTACAGTTGTTTTTACTCACCATGCTTCCTTCATTGTTGCCAACCATTGTGTTGTAACTTCCTGTTAGCCTTTTGATCTCTGTCACTTCAAAAGTGACATCCAAACCATTGGGTAGGGCATCTGCACCTGAGGAGGGGAAGTCAAGCAAAAAAAGATTGCATATTTAGCCAGACTGTACAGTTATAAGTGCTACTTTGAGCACAGAAGAGCAGATGTTTTTAATGAGTTTAAGGCAGAGGGTCCGAACTGGTTACCTTCAGATGTATCAATGAGAACCTCCACTTCTTTGAAGATTCCCAGCCGAAGAAGCTTCTGTCTGGCCGTATGAGCTCTCTTCATCACCTACAGCAGATCTTTGCTTTACTACACAAAAGAAGTCATACCTAAAGCGCACCATCTGTTTTTCTAGTTAGTCTAGTTATCTAAAGCTGAGAAGAAGAATTCCAGAGGCTGTTGGAGGAGAGGAGTCATCTGTAGCTAAGCTATGCTAACATTGTTCCACACAGACAACCATTTACTCTCTAGCTATGTTGGTTGAGAAGTGACCAACCTAAATATTAAAATTAGATTTTTTTTTTATCATCTACAGTCCATCAACAACACCCAGAAACACTGCCAGCTTCTCTGAACCTGAGGTCATCTGAGATGGACTGACACAAAGTGGAAAAGTGCCCTGTGGTCTCACAGGTCCTGTTATGAGCACAAAGTRCAAAAGTCAGCCTCTCTGATGGTATGGGGGTGTATTAGGAATGGGTAACTGTCACATGTGTGAAGACTAGGGATGGGTACTGAATTCAATACTTTTTGATGCACAGGCCGAATTCTGTCGGTACTACCGAGTATCTATTCACATAACATCAAACGGTACCATGTTTCGGTACCTAAACGCATCATTGCGACTGGTTTGGCATAAGAGTGATGAGTTTTCCATGCTGGTCCTGAACGCAGCATCACGCAAAAGCGTAATGACATCAGCAGCCTCTGGTTCAGTAAACAGAGCTCGGTCTGAACGTAGCATGAAAGCCTCGCAGCTTCTGGAGTAAAACTCGCCGAACAGACCGCCTCTGAATTATCTGGTGGATTTAATTATCTTGTGAGCACGACGTTCACTTGCTCAAAGTAAATAAAGTACCGCCACTTWCTTTATTTCATCCACCATTAAACAGAGACCGACAGAGGAAAACAGCAGAGGAGCTTCCCGACAGTTTGAACACYTCTGACCTGAAAGAGCACAAGCAGCCAACTTGAAGTGTTGGAGCATTTTGGATGCTCAAAACATAGCTTGAATAGCTTTTATTTATTTTAACTCAATCTTCTTTTGCTTTTTGATATAGACTTATTTGCCTTCCATGGACCTCCATCACACAAWTTTTCTAGRGGGTAAATGACATCAATAGAAACACGTGGAGCTGGATTTTAATTTGTGAAATAAGACAAAACAGTCTTGTTTTTAAGAGTTTGCACTTTAAAGAAATAAGTTACACAACTGATGATACTATACAAAGAGTCGGATGTTATCTAGATATTTGTTAATTTTATATATTGAGAAATATGTTAAATAAAAAAGAGTTTATTATTAAAAAACAATACACACAAAGTACCGAAAATTGGTACCGTTAAGTACCGGTGCCAATTCCCAGGTACCMGATATTGGTACTGAATCAATTCAAACGTCAAAGGTACCCATCCCTAGTGAAGACACCATTGATGCTGAAAGCTACATCCAGGTTTTGTAGAAACATACGCTGCCATTCAAGACACGTCTTTTTCAGGGACGTCCTGCAAGACAATGAAGACACATTCTGCATGTGTTCCAGTACTAGATAAGCCTGCTTGCAGTCCAGACCTGTCTCCCATTGAAAATGTGTGGAGCATTATGAAGAGACCCCAGACTGCTGAGCAGCTGAAGTTGTTCATCAAGCAAGAATGAAAGAATTRYCTTACAAAGCTTCAACAATTAGCATCCTCAGTTCACAAACACTTGTTGTTGTTAAAACAAAATGTGATGCAACACAGTGGTAAACATGACCCTGTCTCAGATTTTTTAGAACATGTTGCAGCATCTAATTCAAAAAACAAAATATAAAAAATATGTTATCCATATGAACATTAAATACCTCGTCTTTGCAGTGTATTTAATTGAACATAGGTTGAAAAGGATTTGCACATCATTGTATTCTGTTTGTTTTTGTTTATGTTTTACACAAAGTCCCAGCTTCAATAGAATTGAAGGGGCATTTAAAACTCTCCACAGGAAAAAAAAATCAGTTTGGATTAAAAAAAGGCCTCTATTTTCCTTTTAAACTTTTCTCTACAACTGTCATGCTGATTGTTTTCTTCATTCCGATATATTTTTCAGGCTTTTACCTCTCAGCAGACTGTTTTTTCTCTACAGAGGGAGTGTAAACCAGAGAGAATATAATAAAAATATTCTATTGAGGGTCCAGATAAGACTTCAGAACACAATCTGTCATTTGGGGACTGTTTCTGCAGAGCACTGATGTGATGAATTTGATGGCATCAATGAAAACAATGTAGAGTCATAGAACAGCTGCTTACATCTATCAGATTTTTGGCATGGAAAACATCAGAGATCTCATAACCAAGCAGGTCTTCTTTGGTTCTCCCCAGACCCTGGATGTTGACATGCTGGACAACTACCTGCAATCAAACAACAACAAACAAGACAGCATAAACACATCTCTGTCACATTCATGACGCTCTTTTTTTAAAGGCTTTCTAACCTTTGTCTTGTTCTTTCACTTTATGACCATTAGGGCTCCTGAGAGGTAGCGGGGAGAGGGACTCTGCCACATTGCATAACTTCTTAAAATGTATATAATTTTTAACTCATTATTTTTTTTTATTGAATTTTAACAATCTAGGTACTAGTTGTCTCTGTCAGTTCCCAAACAAAATATATAAAAAGAGCCCAAACTCTCAGGGAGCAGGACAAGCAATAGAGATCTGATGAAGCGTCCATTTTGTGCATAATAACTGGTGAATATGCTCTGTGACACATTATTTTCATGACTATGAAAATTGTAGATTCACACTGAAGGCATCAAAACTATGAATTAACACACGTGGAATTATATACTTAACAAAAATGTGTGAAGCAAATGAAAARATGTTTTATATTCTAGGTTCTTTAAATAGCCACCTTTTGCTTTGATTACTGCTTCACACACTCTTGGCATTCTCTTGATGAGCTTCAAGAGGTAGTCACCTGAAATGGTTTTCACTTCACAGCTGTGCCCTGTCAGGTTTAATAAGTGGGATTTCTTGCCTTATAAATGGGGTTGGGACCATCAGTTGTGTTTTGCAGAAGGTGGATACAGTACACAGCTGATAGTCCTACTGAATAGGCTGTTAGAATTTGTATTATGGCAAGAAAAAAGCAGCTAAGTAAAGAAAAACAAGTGGCCATCATTACTTTAAGAAATGAAGGTCAGTCAGTCTGAAAAATTGAGGAAAGTGTCCCCAAGCGCAGTCGCAAAAACCATCAAGCGCTACAAAGAAACTGGCTCACATGAGGACCGCCCCAGGAAAGGAAGATCAAGTCACCTCTGCTGCAGACGATAAGTTCATCCGGGTCACCAGCCTCAGAAATGACAGGTTAATAGCAGCTCAGATTAGAGACCAGGTCAATGCCACACAGAGTTCTAGCAGCAGACACATCTCTAGAACAACTATTAAGAGGAGACTGTGTGAATCAGGCCTTCATGGTAAAATAGCTGCTAGGAAAACACTGCTAAGGACAGGCAACAAGCAGAAGAGACTTGTTTGGGTTAAAGAACACAAGGAATGGACATTAGACCGGTGGAAGTCTGTGCTTTGGTCTGATGAGTCCAAATTAGAGATCTTTGGTTCCAACCACTGTGTCTTTACATGCCTGGTTCCCACCATGAAGCATGGAGGAGGAGGTGTGATGGTGTGGGGGTGCTTTGCTGGTGGCACTGTTGGGGATTTATTCAAAATTGAAGGCATTCTGAACCAGCATGGCTACCACAGCATCTTGCAGCGGCACGCTATTCAATCCGGTTTGTGTTTGGTTGGACCATCATTTATTTTTCAACAGGACAATYASCCCAAACACACCTCCAGGCTGTGTAAGGGCTATTTGACCAAGAAGGAGAGTGATGGGTGCTGCGCCAGATGACCTGACCTCCACAGTCACCGGACCTGAACCCAGTCGAGATGGTTTGGGTTGAGCTGGACCGCAGTGATAGCAAAAGAGCTAACAAGTGCTAAGCATCTCTGGGAACTCCTTCAAGACTAGGGCTGGGTTTAAAAAAATCGATTTAATCGATCTGGATCGATTCTCGTTCAAATTTGAGAAAATCGATTCATAAGTCACGATATCGATTTTTTCCCCACGGGGGGTTGTGTGCAATGAAGCTGCGCGTTTCCGTGTTGTGTGTCACTACTGGCTGGCCGTAGGTTTACATCCAGTTGATGGTCAGTGCTAATGTTAGCTCCCGACAACAAGTTGTCTGGGGCAAAACAAAAGAAACAAAGGAATCACTAACATTACAGCTGATTCTCAGCTGAACTTAAAGATAACAGAGACCAGGTCAACTTTTGTTTGGGATGATTTGCGGTCGGACTTGGAAGCAGGAAACGAAGCTTCAAGTGGCTGGTTCCGGTGGTCGGACCAAAACTACGGTATGTAAACATCTGAAACTGTTCTCCTCAGCATGTATAAATGTGTGAAAGATTTCAGTCAAACAAAATCTTTTATTTTTGCTACCAATATTATTTTAAAATTTAAGAAACATCTTAATGCAATTCACAGTGGTGGAATGTTTTAGCTGAAGTACTTTTATTTTCTTTCTTTCGTCTTTTTAATAAGTTTAACTGAACAGAAGCTAAATAAAACGCTACAAATATACAATTATCATACATTCAAAAGAGTGGGCAGAACTAAACACTTACATTTTCCCACCTCTTCTCCTGCAACCTTATTCCATCGCTTCTTAATGATCAAGAAAATCATCCTTAATTTCTTAAAGGGATCCCCGATTAGTTGTAACATTAAACTTTATTTGATAAACAGATACAGTATTTTAACTGTAAAATAAAGACTGTAAAAATACTGTAGGATGTTCAGTTTTTTAAATTTTTAAAAATATATTGGCTGTATCCAAAACAACAGGCCGGGTCCTCCGGAGGACCCAGACTACCCGGTTGAGGTGGGCCGGGTCCTTGGTAGACCGGGAAGACCGG